ACTCCCAACCCGACAACAACATTCTCACCCCTGAGACGGTCTCCGAAGAAGAGGCCGGACATGTTCCTCCCCCGCTCGTCACCCGTACAACATCCCGCCCAACAACCCTCATCGTCGACGACAACGTCGTCAACCTTCGCATCATGGAAATGTACTGCAAGAAGCGCGGCCTCCCCTATCTGACAGCAACCGACGGCGTCCAGGCCGTCGAGACGTTCACGCGCCGCCGCCGCCAGTCTCCCGGCACCGACAACGAAACCGCCCTCCCGCCGATCGAGCTCATCTTCATGGATCTCCAAATGCCCGTCTGCGACGGCGTCGACGCGACGCGACAGATCCGGGCGTGGGAGCAGGAGAACGACTGGGCGCAGTCGTTGATCATCGTGATGACGGGCCAGGATACGCCGGCGGATAAGACGGCGGCGACGGAGGCCGGCGGGGATGAGTACTTTGTGAAACCGGTGATCTTGCGGCAGTTGGATGGGGTTGTGCGGCGGCATTTTCCGGCGTTTGAGGTGGGGGGATAATAAGTAAGTTGGGAGGTGTACAGAGAAAGAAGGGGGGGGGGGGAAGGCTGTCGATGCTATACTAGGCGTTGCGTGAATGTGTTGTTGAAGACTTGGCAGTTTTTTATTTCAGCTTGGCTGGCGAATATGTATCGTATCGTAAGTCATCCCACTGGTACCAACGAAAATTCGAGACGAAGGAGAAAGTTCTACGTTCTTGACATACTCCTACTTCCTCCACACTGGAGCTCACCAGCTGCAGCGCCATTACCGCATCTCTGCAGCGTCGCGGCACTCTGCAGACTTGACCATTTGGTGCATTAGAGGCAGGCCTTCAGAAGATGAGGGATAGGCGATATAGGACAATGGATGGGAGCGTTGCATCGCTCCACTAAATCAATGTTAAGACACTGACCTAGGCAGTCGTTCGCTCCTAAGAATCTTGAGTCCTGTCAACAATCTCTGAACTCCTTGCTCGATGGTTGGACGGTTGATTGAACTATCTGAGTCCTCAACTCGCTTGATATATGGCCTCAGATCGCGGGGGTGCGACAATAAACACCGTCATCATCGTCGTCGTCATTGTCAACACCCATGATCAGCATCAGCTGAGCCCCTTGCCTCATGAAAGAAGCACAGCAACCTCGGTCCGAACCCTCACCACGCAGCATCAGCTGCATCGGCATCGGCATCGCCCAACCCGCCGATCTCCCCTTCAGCCAGCCACCCTGCACAATGACGAACACACCCCTCGCTCTCGACCCATCAGCCCCGACTCCACTAAGAATCCAACCAGCAGCTGACATATGACACGTCCCACCTTGCCTCCTGGTGCCGTGTCACCCCGATCCGTGTCACATTGCACCGCAACCGCACCCTGCATGAACCGAGCTCACATCTGATACCTCCTGGGCGGCAGCTTGACGAGTCGATCTGGTTTAGCGAACGGGTCGAGATCGACCAATCGGGGAATAATCCCGGGCGGACGATCGGTGTGCAGGGTTGAGTTTGGTGGTTGTCGATTGAGTTTGGGGTCAGGTACTGTGATATCGGGGCTGAGGTTGGGGGTTGAGGGGATGGGTAGGGTAGGTAGTAGGTGAACGTACCCAGCAGGTGCACTCTGCGCATGAACCACAACTTGGAAGTCTTGATTTCTACTGTTCACAGTTGTGAAGACAGGATTAATTACGGTGGATTAAGTTTGAAAGGAAGAAAATCTATTATCGTAATTTATCCGAACTCCAAAGCCCGACCGAACCCAACCAACAGAATATACAAAGTCAAGGAAAGCTAACCCATCACCTTCTCGAACAAACGTCCGGCAACATCGCCCCGTCGCACCGCCTCGTAAATCACACTTACCCACGACCCGACCGTCTTCTTGTCGCGACCGTCCAGCTCCGTGGCTCCAGGGGTCGGATGCTCCACGAACCCCTGGTGGAAGGGCACGCCCAGCTGCTCCCGGACGAGCGAGTACAGCGCTCTCGAGCCGGCGCCGAGCAGTTCCTGGGTATGCGGGGTTTGCTTGAAGGTCGCGGCGGTGGTGGTGTAGACGTCGCCCAGCACGGCGATGGCCTGCGTCTTCCACGCGGTGATGTCGCCCAGCGAGATCTGTGCGCTGCCGGCAGCGGCGACGCGGTCGACGATCATGGGCACAGCGGCCTGGACGGTCTGCGCGAAGCGATCCGGCAGGGAGACGCGGGTGGTCGTGCCCCAGCTGGTGGTCAGGGTGGCCAGGACGGTCTCGATCAGGGATTCGAGCTCGTCGCCCGGCAGACTGGCGAAGGAGGTGCGGATGAGCGCGTCGAGGCGCGGGCGCGCCGTCTCCAGGAAGCGCAGATGCAGCGCCCGGAGGTCCAGCGCCTGACACGCGATGTACAGGTAGGCGGCGGACATGAAACTCACCAGCTCGACAGCCTGCATCGTGTAGCGCGCGCTGATGAAGGCCAGCGAGTTGACCGCCTGGTTGCGCATCTCGGCCGTCTGGACGTGCGCGCTGACCGGGTGGGCGAGGTAGGCCAGCTCGGCCATGTAGGCGGCCATGCTGATGTCGACGCCCTTCATCGTGAAGGAGCACGAGGGGTCGTCCGCCACGAGGTTGGTGGGCAGCCCGTTGTTGTAGTTCGGGTCCACCAGCTCGGTCGCCTGCGCGAACAGGATCTTGCCCAGCATCTGCAGCGAGAGCCGGGTCTTCTCCATCGCCGAGGTCACCGCCGCCGCCTGGAAGTTCGCGCCGCAGTAGATCTCGCGGTTGGCCGTGTCGACGAGCGGGTTGTCGCACGAGGAGTTGAGCTCCGTGGTCAGCTGGCGGTCGGCCAGGAGGAGGTCCTCGAGCTGGGGTCCCACCCACTGCGGAACGCTGCGCCACGCGTAGCGGTCCTGAATCAGGCCGGAGCGCTTGCGGTCTTTCTCGCGGTGGACGCCCACGGCGAGGCGGGACCCCTGCAGCAGGGCGAGGACGTTGCGCGCGCACTCGATCTGACCCGGGTGCGGCCGGGTGGCGGAGATGAACGGGTGGAAGGACTCCGCCGTGCCCATCATGGCTTCCACGCCCATGGCACCCAGGGCCTGGGTGGTGATGGCCAGCTGGTGGGACTCGTGCAGCGCCAGACTGGCCAACGCGGCGGAGCAGGCTGTGCCGTTGACCAGGCCCAGACCCTCCTTCGGGCCCATGACGCGGCGGGGGATGCCAGCGGCAGCGAGGGCGTCGCAGGCGGACATGATTTGGGGGGCAACGGAGGGGTCTGCGTTGGCAACCTGGACGTAGATGTCGGGGGAACCCTCGACTGCTCCGGCGATGTAGGAGAGAGGCATCAGATCTCCCGAGGCAGAGACGGAGCCGCGGAGGGGGATGATAGGAGTGATGCGGTGGCGGAGGAGGTCTAGGAGACCCTCCAGCACGTTGAGCGTAACAGCGGAATGACCACGCGCGTTGCTGTTGGCGCGCACGACGATGGAGGCACGCACCCAAGGGCTGGGCATGGCCGTGGGCGAGGCCGTCGAGGCCAGTCCTCGCGCGTCGCCTGTGGTCTTGTCCGCCGCCGTGAGCACACCAGCTTGCGTCAGTTGCAGTAGGGCAGCTTGTAGAGCCGAGGCCTTGTCCGTGCGTGAGTCAGCACTACCACCAAACCCAGTGTTGACTCCTAGAATAGCAGAATAGCGTTAGAAAGCTTAACTATAAGCAGGATGGAGGAAAGGTACCGTAGACGCAGTAACCGTGGTCGAGGTGATCCATCAACACCCGCACACTGTCGGTGATGGCTTCGATCACGGTGGGGTCGGAGGACAGCTTGGGAAGACAGCCATGGCTGGGTAGAGGTTAGTCTGAAGGTCATCTGTAATGCAATGCAATGCATGGCTGGGCCAACATACTAGGCAACAGCAACAACAGAGGCAATGTCCAGACTGTTGCCATCCAGCTCGACGGCCGGGTTGGTGCGCAGCTCTTGTAACCGCGACCAGGTGCGGTGGGCTGTGGCCAGATGTGTAGGTGCTTCGGGGATGTGAGGCATGATGGGAGTGTAGCGAGAAAGAATTCTAAACAGAACGAAAAGAAAAGAAAAATAGAAAACAAGGTGGCTACGAAAGATGGAAAGTGCGTGAGGAAACAAGCAAAACAAAGCCCTGTCTGACCAGCAACACCGAACGAGCACCTCGCATCTTTATAGGCGCTGGTCACTGCAGTACCAGCCACGAACTGCCTGCAGTCCATGTCATCCACTGACGGCATCGATTTCTGCAGCATCCATCTCCTGTCGATCGCACCTCTTGCTCGTATTGCAATCTCTTCCGATAAGCCTCGCTGCAGGCGCTGATTTGTCCAGCAGGGCAGGGATCCTGCACTCAGCGCGCCACCACGTCTACCCTCTGTTTCACAGACCCATGCAGGGGCCGATCAGTGGGATCAGTGGAGGAGCAATGAACTATCCATTATGAAAATTCCCGTCGATATCCGGGCCTTCCAAGCGGACCCCAGCAGGCCCGGATATTTTGGACCGCAAAGCTTGCAGAGCGAGCAAGCAGGGCAGCTGGGAAAGCTCAGCTGGGGTGGGAACCCTGTCCGTGCCTCCCGTGCCGACCCAGCATCTTGGACCAATTGTCCCGATCGGAAAAGCCCAATCGAGTGAGTGCAGATCGCGAACCACATGGTGAAAGTTATTCAAGGACGATCGGTGGGGGGGCAGTGGGCTCCGGCACGGCAGGGAAGCTCGTCGGTTGGTGCGATGCCCATCCCGATCCTATTCAAGATTGCCGGGTGGAGTCTTTTAGGGCACCTTCCGTCACGGCAGATGCGAGATATTCAAGATATTCAAGAGAACTGGTGGAGTTCCTGCTCCATGACGATATCCTTCCGTGATTTTTCTTTGTTTTAAACCAGTCTAGTCTCGGCTGTTTTCAGCTTTTTACTTTTGCGTTTCTTGTTTGTTGTTGGTAGTTCTGTTGGAGTTGTCTTTCTGTTTCCCCTTCTGCCAGTCGCTGCCAGTCAGTATCATCATGGCGTCGCCTTTTCCTGCGATTGAGATACCCAATGTCGACCTCTGGACTTTGCTGTTCGAGAGGGCCGACCGTCCGTATGCTTTAGATAAAAGTGAGCGAAACATTTGCATGAGCATCACCAAAGTCGGTGCGACTTGCTAACTTCACTGCGACAGCACTCTTTTTGGATCCCTTGAGCGACCACACCCTCAGTTTCCGCCAACTCCGCCAACGCTCTCTCGCCTTCACAGAGGCGATCCAGACGCAATGGAAGTGGCAACCGGGAGAGGTGCTGATGGTGGTTGCGCCCAACTCGATTGCTCTCCCTGAAGTCATCTATGGCACATTGGCCGCGGGCGGGGTGGTGTGTCCGGTGAACCCGCACTACCGCGCCGACGAGCTGCGCCATCCCCTGACAGACGCGCGCGTGAAAGCCGTGGTAACCACCCAGGCACAGGCACCCGTGGTCTTCGAGGCCGCCGACCGCGCGGGGCTGTCGCGCGACCGGGTGTTGGTGCTGGATGCATTATCGCCCACGCTGGTGGTCGACCACCGCGATTCTCCCGCGCGCGATCGCCCTCACTACCCCCCGATCGCATCCCCCGAAGCCCTCGCGTTCCTGGTGTATTCCTCCGGGACGACAGGCTTGCCCAAGGGGGTGATGCTCTCGCACCGCAACCTGGTCGCCAACCTGGCGCAGAACGTGGCCATCGACGGGGCCAATCTGACAGCGGCCGACCGCGCGATTGCCGTACTGCCGTTTTTCCATATCTACGGTCCGTAGCCCTATCTATCTGTCTTTGTGAGAAAAAACAACTGACGATGCACGCCAAAAAGGAATCACCTACCTCCTCAACCTCACCGTCTTCATCGGCATGAGCATCACCGTCCTCCCGCGCTTTCAATTCGATCCCTTCTGCACCACCATCCAGCGGCACCGCATCACCTACGCCTACGTGGTGCCGCCCGTCGTGCTGGAGCTGGTGACCAACCCGCGCGTGGCGCAGTACGATCTGAGCTCGCTGCGCATGACCCTCTCCGCCGCCGCCCCGCTGGCCCTCGAGCTGATCCACGCCCTGCGCAAGAAGCTCGACATCCCGGTGCGCCAGGCCTACGGGATGAGCGAGTGTGCGCCTTGCACGCATCTACAGGTAGCTACTTGCCCCTTAGTCCGTCCACTTCCGTCTGCAGCCTCTCACACACTCCGGACAAACAGACCTTCGAAGAAGCCCTCACCCACCCCGGCTCCGTCGGCCGTCTCATGCCCAACATGACCGCCACCTTCGCCGCCGTCCCCGGCGAGGAATCCCCCACCCACGCACCAGGCACAAAGTCCCTCCCCGGCGAGCTATGGGTGACGGGCCCCAACGTGTTCAGCGGGTATCTGAACAACCCCAAAGCGGACGCGGAGTCGTTCGCCGACGACGCCCAACGCTTCTACAAAACGGGCGACGTGGGCTACGTCGACGCAGACGGAAACCTGTTCATCACCGACCGCGTCAAGGAGCTGATCAAGTACAACGGGTTCCAGGTGGCGCCCGCGGAGCTGGAGGGGATCATCCTGGGGTTCGAGGAGGTGGTGGCGGATGTGGCGGTGGTGGGGGTGGCTAGCGGGACGGCGGGAACGGAGTTGCCGCGGGCGTATGTGGTCGTCAAGGAGGGGGTGCTGGGGTCTGCGGAGCTGGGGAGGAGGATCGAGGCGTATGTGAAAGAGAGGGTGGTTAGTTATAAGCAGCTACGGGGTGGGGTCAGGTTTGTGGATGCCATCCCTAGGAATCCGTCGGGGAAGATCTTGCGGCGCGAGGTGAAGAGGTTGCAGAGGGAGGCGAAGCTGTAATTGTCCTTGATATCTATATATGCAAGGCGGGATATACTAGCGTGATATGGCATCTTGGGATTTGTTTGATTCAATATTTGGTGGCATCCTGTTCATCCGGGCGCTATCGTGCAACATAAGACAATTGTGACGCAACACCGCCTCGACATACTCCCGGAGAGGCTTGAGAAAGTCCCTGATTGCGCGCTCTCGGCATTTCTTCATCCTCGCTACCTAGTATGTTAGCCAATGCCATCCAGCGCAGTAGCTTAGCTTCTCAGAAGAGAGAGCCACGAAAGACGATTTATGCGAGACTGACAAAAAAGAAAAACGAAAGAGAGAGAGAGAAAGAGAGAAAGAAAGAGATGGATTTCTTACCGCACACCCACTCAGGGAGACGAAGCGGATGAGCACTGATTCTATCTTCCGAATGCCCGATCACATACGCCGTGACCTGCTCGAAGACGTCCGTGTCCCAAAAGTACCACGCCACCCAGGCCCACTCCATGGCCGTGTCGAGGTCGACCCAGTACGGATCCTTTCTCAGGGCCAGTGCGATGCTGGTGTCCATGTCGGGCACTCGATCCCACCCGCAGCCCCAGTAATCCAACACGGTGGCTAGGTGCCTGAGCTTACTGAGCCGATCATACCGCTCCGGGGGGATTGTCTGCCCGTGCAGGATGTACATCATGTCGATGAACGCAGTCTCGCTGTAGAGGTTCCCGTCGATAGTGAGATGGACGAAGCCCGTGGCGGTGAGAGACTGCGCCTCCTGCCAGGCGTTGTTGGTGAGCATCCGGTTGAAGACCGGGGACGCATCCATCAGAACTGCCTTCGAGACGATGAGGGTGCTGGTTCGGGTCTCCGGAGCGGAGGAGGGCACGGGGTGTTCGATGCGCAGGGCTATCTTGTCGGTGGCATCGGGGCTGATGTAGATGGTGGAGTCGGAGTCTGCGGTGGTGTCCGCTGGGGACATGGCTTGCTCGGAGGATGCCATCTTTGTGCAGTGGTTGAGGGGATGATGGGGGATGGTTGTTGGATGGAAGAAAGATTGCGTTTCTTTCTCTTGTGCAGAGTGAGTATTTATTAGGACCACGATTGCGCAGTCGCATTTCTCAGGTCGGTGCCTATCGGCCAGGTGAATCTTTGTTCTGCTTTGAGAGGAGACGTGCGTTATGATTGGCCGGTGCTCTTGGTGGGATAAATCAAACACGTCTTTAAGACTTAAGTTCTTGTCGTTGTCTGCGGCTTTCTTTTGTGATAGTTTTCAGTTGTGCTTGACAGCCAACGGGTAGCCTTCGGGTTGTTCTTGCTCTATCCTTCCCGCAGTTTGAACTTGGCGATAGAAGCGTCTGTCTGGATACGGCACCGCAAAGCCAGATCAATTTCTTCTCTCGAGAACATTGATCAGTGCCGAATTCAACTAAGCGAGTTATCTGAGAGCGGACTTATCAACATGGGCGCAACAGGCGGTCAGCAGCCTGGCCAGCGGGGCCTGACACATTTATTGGTCTCTGGGTATATCAGGGGGTCCTGGAAGTTCAGAATGAATATAGGGCCACGTTCATATAGAGTCAGCAGTCACGGTGCCTCTTTGGATTACTCAAGGAAAGTCTCCTGACTACGAGGATAGAACTATGTTAACTGTGATTTGCGACTATCATTTTCTGACATATCATTCTCCTGCATCATTAAATCACAAGCACTTCACTGAAGGACCGACCAAGCAGAGCAGTTCAGAAGACAAAACCGGTAGTACACAGAGACATAACCAAGTCAGATATTCAACATCCACTTATCAACACCAAGAGTGAAAAGCGGTTCCCAACGAAGTCATCCACACCTACCTGGCCATCATCTTCAAGCATTCCTCCAAGGTAACCGGCTTGATATTCAGCTTGCGGACAAACCGAGACACCGAGCCAGCATCACTATGGTCCACAGTCTGGTACATCCTCTCAATATGAATAATCCCCATATCCTGGCACCGGCGTCCTCGACACTCCGTCACGACGAGCTTAGCAAAGCTCAGACCAGAAAAAGGCGCAACCGGGTATGCCTCACGGGCAGCCTGCCGAATGTCCAGGTCCAGCAAGTCGCTCAGCAATGTTGCGCATTCGCCGCAGAAGCCTCTGTGGACCCATTCGGCGGGCCTTTCGCTGTTGTAGTGCATCGGCAAGCGGCGGATTATTGGCGTTAGGGCCTTCTTCCGGGCGGCGTTGAGCTTGTCTGCATGACAGTCAGTCTACGGCATGAAGAACGAAGGGGCGGAGTCATACCCAGCACGACAGGATGGAGTGGCAGTCCCTCGCCCTCGATCAGGTCGTCCGCAAAGTACACCGCGAGATTGCTGAAATCGCGGAAATCGCTTGATCGACGGAGTTGCCAGCAAACCCACAGACACTTCATATATGTCTCATAGGAAGGACTCAGAGTCTTCTTGACCTCTTTTAGCCATGCACGCATGGCTCGTCGAAATTCTGCCAGACACTGGTAGTAGTCGACTAGGAGCGCCACTTCGGTGATTGTGTCCACATTAAGACTCTTGGGCTCTGGTCGGCCATGCATTACTTGGAGAAAGATGAGGAAGGGTTGCAGATTCCACTTCTTGATCTCGAATCGGATATGTCCTTCTGTTGCGAGGTCGATAGTTTCTTTCCAGAGGCCGCTGAGCATTTGTTTGAATACGGGCGATGACAGAGCGAGGTGTTTCTCGGATGCTTGTATCAGATACTTGGGAGCTGGATGGGTTTCTGAGAGGGTCCGTTCGTCTTTGAGGATTTCATTCTATGAAAGGTTTGTCTAAGCGTCGGGTTTCGAGCTTGGATACGCAAGGGCTTACCTTCAGGGCTAGAGCGATTGTTGACGACGACTGGTTATCATCCTTAGGGATCAGTTCAGCTAGGTCGATGTAGGAACGCTGCATGCTACATGTTCCTGGGCGCGCTGAAGCAAATCCAAAGTTACAAGATTCGTGATCTTCTCGATAAGTGGAGTCTGAGGGTGTGGATGGCTCTTCTGTAAGGACAAAGATGACCTTTCCCTCCGGATGAAAGGAGTAAATGTTTGTGTCGGACATGGTGTACAACTATACGATGCTGAGCTCATGTAGATTTGAAAAAGAAGGGAAGAACGCGATGGTACAGGAAAGTTGTTGTGTGTTGTGTTGATTCATTTTGTTTAACTTCATTTCATTTCATCTCCATATGGATCACGTGCTGTCCCCGGGCGACTATGGATATGATTTTAGGTACACTGAGTGAATATCTTCCAAGTAGATTCTATCATATTTGCCTTGGCTTGACCCCGCACACCTTTGTTTTTTTATTTTTTTTATTTCTTTTTTTGCAGAAACGGTATGGAAAGAACAAAATCCAGAAACAACCTTATTCCAGAATATGGGTGATAAAGCTTGATGATGCCACAAACTAAGACCTTGCATTAAGTTATTCGGAGTTGATATAGCTTCTGTGGGTGAGGGTCTTCAGTTTCACACCCACCGCGAGATTGCGGATATTGAGGAATCTCTGCAAATCATACTTGTTGTTGCCACACTCTCCGTCCTCATACTCAGGGTTCACAAAGGACTCGACTTCTTCGACCAGCCTCTGATACGATTCGCCGATATATGGAGCCTTCGGCCACATGGGGTCTTTGATGCTGGCATCGTAAAGATTTCTCTGAAGGTACCCCAACATAATGGAACTGAAGTGAGAACAACACTCACCAGTACCCTTCAAAAACTTTATCTCCACTCTTTTCAATTTTCTTATGGCTTTCGCTATGGCTTGCTCTCGGTTCCTCTTAATCCTCTCTGCTAAACCGTCAGTAATGTGATTATGACAGGAAAAGAAAGCTTCACAGACCGATAATCCTCCCTGGCAAAGGCAGATTGTGAGAGTGCACCACCTCATAGCTTGTCTCAACGGCGACAAGAGTGTTTGCCTCAAACTCTTTGTTCAGGTTCCACACCCATGCCACATATATCCACTCCATCACTTCCTTGCCGTACTCGGAGGGACTCCCTGTCGCGGTGAGATTGTCGACCCACTGCAGGGCGAAGTACCGGGCGAGTGGTGCACACTGGCAGCGGTCCACCAGCAGTGCCAGGTCGACCAGTGTCGGGAGGTCGATTACTTCAGGCAGTACAGACGCTTGGCCGTGAATGATCCGCATCAATATCAGGATGGACTCAAGCCTCAAGCCCTCGAAGTCGGGCAGGAACTCTCTGCTGCACGAAGGTTCGGTGCTCTCTTGTTCTCTTCCGGTCCAGACTTTTGCAAAGAAAGGCGATGCTCGAATCAGGTGCTTGGTCGATACTCGGATACGATGCTCTTCTCCCTCCATTATATGGAAGAGTATCACGTCTCCTTCCGGGTCGACGATGTGTGTGTTTCTCTCTGCCATAGTGGAAGGGAAAACGTGGATGGGCTGATGACTTTGGTCTTGGGTTGAGGGTCGGGGGAGATGAAGATGGTGACAGAACGATAACGGTTGATTCCCTTGTGTCGGAGGAGATATTCCTTTTCTGACACCCGCTGATGACTACTGCATCAATCAGATGAAAGTTTCTGGAAGCTGGATGCTAGTCATGTGATAGGGCTCTGTTCCATGCCTCTCACTTGCAGCCTCGAGTATGTCCATCTTCTTGTTGCCTGAGGCTGCAACCTAGGCTCCTGACCAGGCTCAACATTCTCGTAACACCTGGGCTCCTGGGTTACAATCTGGCACATTCGCGCTTCATCCCTAATGTTGTTGAAACTGGTAACCTGTCATAGACGAAATTGCCAGTCTTACAATGAGTCTTAGATTCAGCATGAGTGTAAACATTCACCGCTAGGATATTACTATAATCATCCGGGTTTGTGATGGAATAGCCGCATCTAGATATTTACCTCTGATGGATTCGACATAGAATCTTGGAAAGCCTTCGCTGTACTCATTGTAGTCTACACCAATTAATTATCAAGCTCCCTAAAAGAGGTCAAATAGTTTCCTTATCAGCGACCTTGACCAACTCGATCAAGAATATCATTCCAAGCTTTCAACAGCACCATGTTGCCGAATATCTTTATCTCCTCTTACCATCACAAACCCAACCAAGGACAAGAGGTGAGAGTCCAGTACCTTAGAGTGGAGGCGACTCGCATGTATATATCTTGCTGGTTATCCTCAGCCAGAGTGCGCACCGTCAAACAGAATACTTAAGATCATCCAGGATGCTAATGTCTTCGCTCAAGCAAGAGTCCCGAGCAATAAAGTGTTCACTAGCTTCTCCCATCCAACTCCGGATATCAGAATACTGCCTGGCACGACCACAAATTCATCATGTTCATCAAAGAGACGGTCGCAAGCTGCAGACAGAAGATGGGCTATTCTTTGCCAACCCGGCTGCCACGGATTAAGATAAGCCGGTGGCCGGAATATAACCGTTTATACGGGAAGGAGTCTCCAGGCTTTCCTTGATTGTGCACCTTGAGAAGATTTGATACCTACCTCACAATGGGAAACGGATTTATCCGAACCGAATGTCCCGAAAAGAGATAGCAATGACAAAGATTATGTCTCGACAAGGGGGCGGCAATGGAAGTCGAGCACGTCCTTACCTTGAATACCGCCCTGGCCGCCTGTCGATTGCTTCAACCGCATTTTTTTTAATCCGTCTTGACGCTCGGGTTATGAGACCCTGCTTGCAGAGACCGTCTTGTATTGATTTTGACGTCATGCCTATCGAACATTCACATCGTTTGTTATCCTCTTCCGTTGCTCATCAATCAACCGGGATGGAGCATATATGTTCAAATATCTTGACAACGGACCCACTCATTCCAAAACTGAGCAACTGCCTGTACAGCCCCTGAGGCATCTGCAACTGTATGGACACGTGCAAAGTGATTAGCAAGGAAAACGCAAGGGTGTGCATGTCATGAGTGATTTACAACTAGGAGGATTATGGTTATGGGACTTAGGAAAATTATATCTGGTTCCTTGAGTGCTGTGGGCGGAGATTGGGAAGACGATCCACAGAAGGTGGTTGAACCCACATACTCAAACTATAGCCAGCGGGTTTATCCTGATTCTCGTTGACCCGGCCAAGCCAGACTCCAAATAGGCAAAGGAGCATATCATGAGCAAGTTCAGACAGGACCGCGCAAAAGGGAAGGTTTAGTGCCTTGCAGTGACTACTAGGTAGGTAGCACCACCGGGGCGGTACACCAACTGGCACGCCAGTCATCTTTCCTCTTTAGACATCTTTTGTTTGCTCGACTCACAACTGACTCTCCCTTCACTCACCACTGACTCTTCTATCACTTACAGCTGATTTTCTCATCACCCACAAATCTCTCTTATCACTCAAAACTCATTCTTCCGCGACTGTTGACCTTCCAATCACATCCAACCGACTCTCCGATCACCTCCCACCCAAAAGAAGCCTTCACCACTCGTCTCAATTCTTTCATCGTGTTTAACTCTCTACTCGACCACTCGATGATCTCAACAACCACGTCTCTACTCAGCTCGATGAATCTAACAACTGCGTCTCTACTGAGCTCGTTAAGTTCAACGGCTACGCTCTAGGGGTCGAATGAGGACCTACACTGCTTCACCACACGCCGTTGGCTGTGGAATGAGAAACAGCAACTTCAGAACCGCTTCACGCCCTTCGACGTGCAAGCGCTTCAGGAAATTGCTGCCAGCAGTATAGAAGCTGAGAAATGCGTCTTAATCACCAAGCTGGGGGAGGGTGGCTCGAACAGAACAGTCTAACTCACGATGGACGATGGCAGAAAAGTGGTTGCGAAGATCCCTTACTCAATCGCAGGTCCCCAGTACTACACCACAGCATCTGAAGTCGCCACTATGGAATTTGTGCGTGTCTGATCCTTCTCCTCTTCCTTACGTCGCTGGTCCCAGTCTCTCAACTCTTGCTCACACATGAAAATGATCTTTGCAGGCTCGGACGGTTCTCAACATTCCTACTCCAAAGGTTCTTGCGTGGTGCGCGGATAGTCGATGCAGGGTTGGATCTGAGTACATCATTATGGAGGTTGCCCGCGGGACTCGACTGGCAGATGTGCGGGATGACCTAGCTCTCGAGGAGAAGCTCAAGGTCACTGATAGCCTTGTTGCGCTGCAGAAGAAGTTATTCTCGGTGGCTTTGAATTGGTTCACACCTCGATCCCTCTGCCTTGTTGCGATAGGCTAACCATGTTATAGCTACGGTAGCCTGTATTATGCCACAGAGAATATCCCTGGCGCTCTTCCGGCACAGCTCGTTGGAGATATCCCCGAGAAAATACAAGAACAAGTAGCGACCCGGTTTGTGGTTGGGCCAGTGACAGAGCATGACTTTTGGACAAAAGAGCGTGCACAAATGACTATTGACCGCGGTCCCTGTACGATTTTCCATTCTCATGTCGCCTTCTCTCTGCCAGTTTCATATCGCCTCTCCCATATCATATTTCTCTCTTTCCAAGCTAGTTTCCTCAAGGGATGCAACCACAGGACTACGTCACCTCTCTGGCCCATCGCGAGAAGGCCTGGATACAACAACATGCGATTCCGAAACCCGACGATGCCACGATGACCCAGAACTGCCCCGCTAGTCATCGGTGTCTGCTTGACAAGTACCTCCAAGTGGCACCGTATCTTCTCCCCAACGAGCCCGCCATCCTTGCACCGTACCTCTGCCACAGCGATCTCAATCCCGCAAACATCTTCGTGAGTGACGGAGAGATTACCAGCGTGATCGACTGGCAGGGCGTATGGGGCACCCCACTCATGCTCGGCGGACGGCACCCAAGCTTTATCCGCTTTGAGGGGAAACCGATTCTCACTCTTCCCGAAGGTTTCGCCGAGCTCGGCAGCAAAGAACAGTCTGCGATCGAAGCCCAGATGGAACAGACCATCATTTGTGATTTCTATCAGACACGAGTGGCGGAAGAGATCCCACTCCTCAATCGCGTGTTCTACCAGGAATTCGGCATGCTGCGGTGTTGGCCCATTCAGTTTGTGGGCGACGCCTGGGATGATGATATCATTCGCCTGAGGGATAGTTTGATCCAGATTTAGAAGTGAGTTCACACCGCTACTGATCCTGGTCTGCGTTGTTCGCTTATTAAATCCCTCTTCCAGACACTGGGAAGAGATGGGCTTTGGGTTTCCATGCCCTCTCCATTTCACAGAGGACGAGCTTCGGGTCCACGATGAGGAAACCATAGGCTGGAACAATATACAGGGGTTCTGGGACGTAATCTCCCCATTAGTGGCGAGAGATGGCTTCGTTCATTCCGACATGTACGAGGAGGCTGCTCACATGTTCAAATACGTGCGGAACTGGGGCTTGGAGCACGTCACGGGTAAGGTGAAGGAAAGGTTTGAGCACGCAACGCTGATGGCTGCGGATGTCGAAGTTGAGGCAGTGAATACCGGAGGATCCGGGGATAGCTGATCGACGCAAAAGCTCCAAGGGGCTGATACCGCACACGAACGGATATGTGCAAGGGCGCCATGCCGTTGCCATCCTGTCCGGCTTGCTTCAGAATTCTCGAGCTGGACCTCTACGTGGAATACAGTTCCGTCTGGCCCAAGCACGACGACACTTGACCCGCCCAGTTGATATAGACGCGCAATCTGTTTCGCTTCTACAGTATCCGGAATAGTGGCTTCGTAATGGAGCCGGGTGTCGCAGGTCTTCACACCGCAATTCCTTGAAGCGCAAATAGAATCTATGGGATAGACAAGTTAGCCCCATAATGTGCCAAGCGTGAAGCAACACACCTTCTCGATGTAGCGAACACCAACGGAAATGCCGTCATCATCCAGGAATTCTTCTTCATCTCCGAATAACTCATTATCCTTATCGAGACATGTCAGACATGACACGACAACTTCAGTGAAGACGTTTCCCATCAAAGCTGGCAACTTGTTTCGAGCCAGGTCAACAAACATTCTCTTGATTTGGTAGGCTGCTCGTCTTTGATCTTTTTCAACAATAAGCTCCTTGATTGATAACGAAGGCCCTGGAATAGGCTGGCCGTAATCTCCCGAGTACTCGACGAAGGAAGTCCACAGTCCAATCTCCAACAGACAGACCCCGAGGCTATATACGTCATGCTGCATGATATATTCATCTTCGGGATGTATCCCCTGGCGTCGTGGATGACGGTAGATGTTCCTCTCCCAAGCCTTGTCGCCACTCAAGTGGGTCGGGCCTTCCGCCAGTCGAAATTGGTCGAAGCCAACTAGATAAGGCGTACCCAGACGGTCTGCATGCGATCTGCAAATGATGATATTCTCTGGGGTAATGCTTTTGTGGACGAATGACGACGAGTGTAAGAACACGACCGATCGAGCCAGGGAATTTGCAAACTTCACCCGCTCGTTTAGAGTAAAGCTGCGCTCAGCACGTGTCGACAGGATATAGCGAAGACTACCAATAGGACCTTGCTGCTGATTTTGTGGGACAGGAAAAATAAGATCGAAGGTCCTTTCCGTCCTCAGTACGCCGCGACAGGACAGAAGGCCAAATGTGTCCGGATCGACTTTGGAAAGGATGCGCGCTAGATCGCGAACGTCCCTGGTGCGGCTACGGAGGTCGTTTTGTCGCCTGATCGGGATGCGGTCGACAACTACCACCCCTTCATCGGTGCGAGCAAGCCATGAAGAAGACGAAGTAATCGCCGTGTAGCGTCCAATGACGAAATCCTTCCCCAGGAAAATCGAGGCGGAGCTCTCCCCGTCGTGAATTCGGTGGGCTTGACGCAGATTTACCACGGTCGAAACGGCCTTGCTCTCGGCAGCCCTCTTCCCACTAAACTCCTGATCGATTGTCTGGACGGCCAGGCGGCTCAAGAAGAACCATGATGGGTCGAAGGTTCTCTGCCATTGCTCCAACTCTTCAACGACGTGTTCGAGAGATTCCTTGGCATACACGGCGTATTTGATGCGCTTAAAGCGGGACACTTTCAGCAGTATGCGCGCGAGGGGAGAGTCTATGGGCTTCTCGTGTGAGGTTTCAGCTTCGAGGTCGACACTCAGACTCTGAATGCTCTTGACTGCGGCCTTGAGCTTGCTTCGGAGTACTTGGAGCACCTGAAATTGATGGATCTGCAAAGCACCCGGGAGAGCCTCCCATACGGCCTGGAGTGCGGACAATTGTTGCTCGATCTTGATCCAGTGACCCTTGATTTTCAGATTGGCTTCTTGCAATTCGCGCTCAGCTGAACGGTATGCTTCACAACGTGCGTACAAGTCCTTTCCAAGGCTGACCTGGTCAGCTTCATGGAAAGTAAGGGGGCAGGAAGGTTGGGACTATAGTGCTGAAAAGACTCACTGGATGCACAACTGCAGCATGGAAGCAACTGAAAACGCAAACGAGGCAGGGTCCATGGTGTGTAGGAAGTGAATGAGTGTGATGACGAGGGAGAAAGAGAAGTACTTAAGAGATGTTTTGTTGTCCTTGTTTGTGACCCCGCGCTGGCAAAAAAGCAACTCGTGATGCGACTGTTCCCATTGGATCGTCAATCGTCTCCCCCGCAAACTAACTTGAAAGCCATCTCACTCATCCCACTCACTCCAGCCTCGTCCTTTTCAACTCATCTTCTTTCCTTCCCCACCTTTTGTGGGCCTTTCAGCTTCCACCTTCTTTTCATTCTCCTTCCTTTTTTCTTTCTTCATCATTCATCCTCCGGATTTTATAGTGCTATGATGCTACCCAACGCGCAGCGCCATGTCCATTTCGTCGTTGCAATATGCCGACTTGCTACACTTGGTGCAAGGGAATCCAGAACTTGCTGATAAGATCAGAACCTTGCGATTGGGCTTAGAAGCTGACGACCTGCTCGAACACTTCAAATACGACGCCATGATTGACCAGAATTGCACCACCCATACCGAATACGAGCGAAATGACAGTCACGCTATCCGCATCGTGAGGAGGAAATGGTACCGCCGCCCCGACCCCTTAGGATGGGGGATATACGGCAAGGTCTGGCTGGAGAGTGATGAGGCCGACACGCATCTTCGGGCAGTCAAGGTCGTGCAAAAGAACATGATGGAACGCGATAGCATCGACTACAAGAGGGAGATTCTCGCACTGGCCAAGTTCTCGAAACCGCAGTACCAACAGCAGGAGGTCCTGGTCAGCTTTCTGGGCTGGTTGGAAGACCCCTCCAACCTTTATCTTTATATGGAGTTCTTCCCACTAGGGGATCTCGAGAGTCACATATCCGAGTCCATCCCCGAAGAAGAGGTCAAGGATATCACCACCAATCTCCTTAACGGCCTACGGATCATCCACGCTGAGCAGTTCACCCACCGCGACCTCAAACCCGGCAACATCTTCGTGGCCCGAAAGCCCCCGGTCGCCCGATGGTGGGTCAAGATTGGCGACTTTGGCATTGCGAAACGAGTGAACCATGAGAGGACAGCCCTTTACACTTCCATTGGTACTCCAAAGTACACTGCTCCAGAGGTGAGCGGAGATCTGGATACCGACGAACCAACATCAATCTATGATAACGCAGCCGATATGTGGTCTTTGGGCTGCGTGATATTCAGGATCGCTACTCAGCAAGACCCATTTCCGACGCGTAGAGACGTGCGGAGGTTCTGTGACGGGCGGGCACCCTTTCCCGACGAACCACTTCGGGGAAAAATGGGTCTGGATGGAGTGAAGTTTGTCAAGGCGCTCATCTCTCCTTTACCCACCGAGCGCATAACTGCAGAGGCCGCTCTTGGTATGGCTTGGATTCAAAATCATAATCGGAACACGCTCGTAGCGACGGATGATGAATGGGTTGACGGATCGAGCCACATGCCTACGCCAGGTCGAAGCACGTCATCCATTGACTTTAACAAGGCTCCAAAGGATCAGATAGCAACGACCAGCGACGAATTTCATTCCCTGCTGGGTCACCCGAGTTCTGGAACTGAGAAGGTTCCTTCTACTCCCAAAGGGGGATTAACGATACGAAGCGGCAAAACCCAGGCTCAGTCGATTCGCCGAAGACCTGAAGTGCCAGAAGCTCGTACTGCTGAGCCTACTTTACCCTCTTCACGAAGCCCTTTTTCTCTGAGTCATACAGACCCTCCAAGGCATACGATATTAAGCTCGAGCGACAAAGTTCCGTCCCAGCAGCATCATTCCAAACCCGATTCTGCGTCTGCGCAGGCCCTTCGTCCTAGCCCTGCGGTTTTTGAGGAACATAAAGCAAAGCAGTCTCAAGCCGCAGGACAAGCCAGAAATCCGCAACAAGATGACAGGTCAGAGGCTGCAGGTGCGTCCTCCGAGATAGTCTCTTTTCAGGGGCATTCTGGCACTCTACGAGATGGGAAGGTCACTTCTACGAGACGGCCAGGACGAAGACAAAGGTATCCTGCCAAGCAGTCTTCACAGTCCGAAATACCAGAGCCCATTCTGTCCGGTGTCGAGGGCCACACAAGCGTCTTCAAGGCGCATGTGGTGCCGGAGAACCACACGTTGAAGTGAGTGTAAAATTCTCTTGGGCTCTATTGCGCCGCGTCATGTCTGATAAATGTTTGCTGCAGCATCATCGCCATCCATGGTATGGAGAACACGGCAGACGGAGCCTGGACTCACATTGATGGCGGGGTTGAAGTCAACTGGCTTACACATCCCGACATGCTTCCCAAAGCCTTGCCCACGGCCAGCATATACACATTTGAGTGGAGAATGCCTTTCGGTAGCGGAATCATAAGCGGGGTGCTACGGCGCCGTGGGTTTGAGCTCAGGCATAAGTGGCAGGAGGCGCTGACTCGGACGCCAAAACCCACGGTTGTCATTGCTTGTGACTTTGGTGGGCTAGTGCTGGCCAGCGTCAGTAACCTCCCATCCAAGTTCCCGAGCCCCTAGGGCTTGAGGCTGAGGCCGTGCTAACCAGTATAACTTCACAGGCTCTCGCCCAAGCCGAAGGCAGGCGCGACGCACAAGCATGGCTACTGGACTCCCTACGAGGCCTAGTCTTTCTCGGGACTCCGTTCCGCGGAGCCGATGACGACGGGCTAAAGCGATGGGAGGCCTACCACTCCCACATCGTGCAGTTGTGTCAGGCGAAGTCTGACTTATCAGCCCTCGACTGGTTGAGCCGAGGGCGACTGATCAACATTCTGAGCATTGTCCACACGCCCTTTCTCCAAGAAATCTGCCAAGGCTTGGAGAGGGCAATCACCAACCACAACCGCACCATCCCCACCGTCTGTTACTACGAGATCCACGACACCAAGTTCAAACGGAGCCCACTCACGTTCAAGCGGCCGGCCAAGCCGGGCGTGCTGGTCGAATCCACCGACGCCTGGCCCGGCATCACCTCCGTCCACCACGCGGGCCTACCCACTGATCACCGCGGGTTGAATAAATTTGCCGGCCCGCATGATCCCAGCTATCGCAAGCTACGAGATCAGATTCTCGCTTTTGTGGGCGATACCGTGCCGCGGACTCTGCCCTCAGAATGTAGGTGTTCCCTCCTTTGCTTGGCTTGATTTATACTTGCCGTTTCAAGTGAGGATTCGCTAACAGGTCGATAGGGGACTATGATGACGTTCATGTGGAGGAGTATGCGACTCGGTAGCGGCCTGGACATGGTCATACAAGGGACTTGCAGTCGAGGTGACTTCCGGTCAGCCAGAAGCAATAAGTTTCGATTTTCACAGAGACACGAGATGTCTAAGGCTTTCCCACCGACCCTCTACCTTAAAATCCATGGTATTGGACAATCGATCGACCCAGCCTTCCTCGGCATATAACCTGATTCATGGAACCCGTTCTATCTTGTACATTTAGTATATAAATGTGATTCTGCGGATATTCAAGGACGGGCGGGCGTGCCGAGGGACTTCGGTCGCTTTGACGCCCCACTGAAGACAAAGGAAAACCTGTGAATTCAACAACATCCGATATGGTGTAGTGGCTAACATCGCCGTCTCTCACACGGCAGCCGGGGGTTCGATTCCCCCTATCGGAGCTCAACTTCTCCTTTTTTTGTGCTGTCTTGTCTTGTCTTGTCTGTATCTCTACACTCTGGCTCTAGCTGTCTTCGTCTCCTTTTCTTCTTGTCCTATCACTCATTTTCTCTCATTCATAGAGATGACAGTTCGCAATATCCGAAATAAATCGGCACCAGCAGGCAATCCCGATCCGCGGGCTGTGTCGGGTAGCACCGTGCCCTTGTGGGAGCCTCCACATCACGGGATCACTGTCTCTGCATTCCTGGTATCGGAGGATATCATCTTTGAATCAAAACTTAGCTTGAGGACTTGAAACTCTGCAGATGGGTTAGTTGAGTACACGTCTCGCCGATAAATACTCCCGAGAGACGGCGGAAATAGATGATGGAAATGAGAAATTGGGAAATTGGGAAATCAGCAACGCGAAACCGTCTAGCGTTATAGAGATAGTATATCTTGATAAGGCGCAGACGGTTCAAAGGGGAGATACCTATCCCGCAGCTCGGTGGTTTTTGCATCGGTGTAGAAGATCATTATGATGCACCGGTAGTATGATATCTTGAGTACAGGAAATTTCCCCTCGGTCAAGTTGAACCCCCGAATATAAGTTTGATTATATAGGTTTAAGTGGGGGCGTCAAACATCATATGCTCTTAATTTACGTATAGTATCTAGTGCAAGATCCTGTGCCGGAGAAATATATCTTCCTACTCGGTGGGATTTGGCCAATTTATCCCAACCCCCAGACTGCATCCTTCTCATTCCATCCAACAGGGACAAACATAAATCACTTGCTGCACAATAGTAGCGAAGGCAGGGTTTCGCCTGCTAAGAGCCTTCCATCTGGAAAATGTAAACAGAAGACTGACACAGACTTCATCGAGGACCTCGGAAGGTTATGGTTCCCCTTCGGCGGGATAAGGTTGAACCCCCGACAACCCCGATCGCCGAACCGCCGGGAAACCCGCCGAGGGGTTGAACCTTACGCCGAAATCTCCGACCCGCTCGGCGGGATTTCATGCACCGGAAAGTCGCCGAAGGTTGAACCCCCTTCAACCCGCCGAGAGCTCGTTTTCCATCTTATTTTGCGACTTGTCATTGCCGCTAGAGGTCCTCGTTTGCAAAGGTTTAGCTTCTGGACAGAGGTGTTGGGAGATTGGATTGGTGGTGAAGTTTCGGTAAATAGTCCGATCGCGAGCAACAGGGAGAGCGATGCGGTCGGAGGTGTAATGGGAGAACGATCTGTTCGGATAGGATTGACCTGGGGAGCGGGGTCTGAGCCGGGGGTGTTCCATGGATGGCAGCCTCCGGTCCTGCGACCATGCTCTATACCAACGTGGAGGAAGTGAGCCTTTCGGCACTTAATATCCATAGCGGGCACAATGCCCCCTCATCCCGAGCTCATCCAACGCTACTGTCGCGGCTGCGCACGCCGACCGTACGCACAGTCATACTGCGCCCAAGTCCCCCTTGCTGGTGTCGTCGGATCTCCTCCAGCTTCAGCACAATCCCCACCGCCTTGTGATCCTCGATCAGCTTCGGTCGGCGTTGCGCAAAATACTTCGCATACTTGATCAGAGACCAGTAGCAGCTGATCACGTTGATCACGGCGATGAGCATTTTGTAGGGCATCTTTGGCACGGATTGTTAGCAATGACACAGCACGTATATCTGGACAACGTACATAGTATGCAACGATGACCTTCCAGCTCACGCGTTCATTCTTCAGTCGAAGGTGTATCTCATTAAAGAGCACAGCGTTCAGTAGATACAGTCCTAAGGTCGCCATCAGGAGACTAATGCAGAATGAAGGCCGCACGACCAACGAGATGGGCAGGATGAATGGCGCGAGAATGCTCAGCACGGTTTCGTACACCTATGCCTCAGTCAGCATGCGGGGTCGGCTGTACGCCCAACATAACAGGGACGTACCTCTTGCATAACAAAAATCTTTGCGCCAATCTCCCAGCGACCCAGCTTCCAGGAACCAAAAATGTAGGCCAGGTTGTATCGCATGCCGTTGACGACGAAAAAGTTCCAGCGCAGGAATCGCTGCTTGAAGACGGTCATCTCCCCAAAGCCGCCTCGGCTCTGGTCCTTGTCGACCCAGAGAAAGGCAGGCGGAGCCGCAGTCTCCACGAACATCATGCTGCACATCTTGATCCGTCCGCCTAGTCGTCGACAGCTGTTGCCCAAGAACCAGTCTTCGCTGATTGAGAACCCCGGGTGATCTTGAAGCGTATCCTTGAGGAATGCCCGCTCCCAGAGCGAAATTGCCCCGTGGGGAAAGGTGGCGCTGCCGATGCGACCGGCAAAGGTGCGCTGCAGCCCGGCGAGCTTGTACTCCAGATCCTGAGCTTGCTGGCAGTAGGTGCCTTTGGATGACTCGGAGCCCACCACCTTGATCGTGTAGCCCACGCAACGCACGTTATCAGTCAGCCGAGAGATGGCGACAGGAAAGTTCGCCGGCAGAATGCAGTCGTCGTCAGTGAGGAGCACATAACGAAAGACTTTGGCCGCGTAGCAACCGACAAAGAGAGCGATGATCTTGGATCCGACCGGGCACCAGATATGATTGACCCCGTAGCGACGGCAAATCTCCTCCGTATTGTCCAAGGGATTGGTGGAGTCTCCATTCGCAATGACGTACACATGCGATGCGGGGAAGATCTTCAGTGCGGCCTCGAGTGTTTGCCCAATGACTGGTGCGGATCTGTAGCAGGGGATCAAGAGGGCTGTGTCCGGAGCGCCCGGGGTAATGTTACGATCTCTATAGTACTCGGGGTCGGGAAGATCCTTCTCGAAGAGAGCCAACAGCGGTGCAAACGAGTAGCTGTGCGATCGTGAGTCACGATACGGGGACCGCATTCTCCTCCCAAAGAGCCTGACTTACAAGATCACTAGACTTATGACAATGGCCCATCCACCTTGGAAGACAAATTTGTTGCGCATTACCCAGTATAGCCAATAGATAGCCCCGCCCCATAGAGGTTGACCCACGAGCACGAAGTACACAAATAAGAGGAGTATCGTGTATGCTCCATATTCGATCAGCATCCGAGCCCAATATCTGCGTTGATGTTTGATTTGGACCAGATTGGCTTTGTCGTACAACGTCCCAAGACTGCTGTCACGGGCTCTTTCGGCCGCGGCGTTGATAGTCTGGCGTAGTGGGAATGGAGACAACACTGTGAATTTGTTGAGAAGACCGTTACCGTCGAGCGAGTATCGAGCTGTGCGTGCTTTGGGTGGTGGGGTTGGGTGACTTGGTAGCTCTGCGACGGGGTGACTTGGAAGCTCGGAGATGGGGATAGGGCCATCGGCCGCTGAATGAGGGACCGCCTGAGGTCCTTCGGGGGTCTCCACTACTACACAATCCTCATACAATGGGTATATCTCGTCGCCTCTGTTGGCATTAGTGCTCAGGGGACGGCCCACCGAGTGAGATGTCGTGTCATTCTGGGCTGCAGTCGGCCAACTGGTGGTGGTCTGTCTTCGTTTGTGCACGCGCACCTCATCCGGAGGTACACCACTTCGAAGTTGACTGGGGATCTCTCGTCGGGGACTCTGTGACCAGGTTTCGCTTAGGGTGGCGGCTGCCAAGAGAGACTCGGGAATAAAGATCTCCTCATCAATGGGGGAGTTGTTGCCCGGATGCATAGCGATAGATGTAGGACACCGAGGGTGACGAATGCCATCTATGCGCACCGTGCGAGATCAGCCTTGGCCACACTGACAGTCAATGATAGGCTGGAAAATAAGCTAGCCACAAAAGTAGAGACAGAAAAACAGGAATCGTGGGAAAGGACGGATGATTGAAGGTTCATAAACAAGGCCCGGGCCCTTTCTTGAATGTACATCACCATCATAGCAGGATGATCTTCGCCGAAATGCACGATTGTGGCAGGAATTTCATTCCGAGCGAGGTCATCCTATGTTCCAGGCGAATAGGTACGTTGGGAAGAGTTAGCCGGGAAGGATATATACCAGGAAGACCTGCTCTTTGCTACGGTAGCCTAACCGGGCTCGGGCCACAACACAGGCTTTGGAATGTGTGCTTTCCTGCTCGGCGAGGGGATTGTCCGTCTGTCATATTCTACGGGCAGTACACGAGTCATGTCTTCCAGGATTAACTTTCCCTCGCTCAGGTCGGCCACCATCAGAGTCGAGTCTCCATGCCTGTCGCATGTGCACATGAACTCAAACTCACGAGCACTCTGTGAGCCGGCGCAGGGGTCAATGAAGTGGTAGCCTGGTAAGGCTCCAGGGTTGCGGTGCCATAGGCGACTCGTAGAAGAAGGTCTTGAAGTCTACATTTTCACTTCGGAACGCTCCACTGCGGGACCCAATCGACCAGAGGAGGGGTCCCGCAAATGTTATCCGAGACATAGCCGGCAAGGGGGATCGGATGGAGTCTCCTGAAGGCTAAGTGCTCCACCAACATCCGCTCAGAGGACTGGGATATCTTCTCCGCCAGATATCACCGTCGAGGATGGTGGAGTAGAGCCTGGATTGTGATGTATCTGGGCTGGATTCGAGGCTAGGCTGGCATGATGTTCTCGACCTGATTGAAACACGAGTCCTCGCGAGAATGCTTTGGCGTCGAAGTCGACATGATTGGACAGTTCTTTTTTTGGGAGAACAGCGATTTGTGGGGGTTGTAATATTGGCATTCCGGGTGCTGACAATGGGATTGTGATCCTGTGCGTCTCTGGTGGAATGGATGATGCAACCATGGCACAACACAATGGTGCTCATTTGAAAGTCTTGTTGACTAGAGCTAGAGAGACATTGTCAGGAAGGACTTGTGGATGTTTGTGTCGCGAGCTTTCGGGGTCGCGTTGACTGGCAGTTTGCAGTAGTCGCGTGAGGCTGCAGCGGGCTGAATGAGATCCGTTTCCGTTGCGGGTGAAGGTCCCTTGGTGAAGATGTCTTGGTAATCAAGGCACAACAAGCAAGA